GGAAATTGCTGAATTATCGGAGCCAATGAATTCCTGATACAGTAATTGATAAAGAAACTCCTATTAAAACTGCTCCATTTTCTAATGCTTTATATTGTATGGAAACTGTGAAAACAGTTACAGAATGTAAATGACACAGTATTTTTTCTCATTATAAAGTCAAAAAAGAGCTCTTTCGAGTCAGGAATCAAAAATATTGTCAAACATCTATTAGTCAGTATTTTTAAATTTCCAATTAACTAATGCAAAATAATTCACTAACAGTATTTTCAGACGTCGAATAAAAAGTGTGTATTTTCTAACTATGGATATTTTTAGTGTAGTTGTTTATGATCGAATTTCCAAAAGGTAAGTGTAAAAAATTTGTATTTTGAGCCACGATATAACGAATAACTCGGAATTAAAAAATAAAATGTTTGGCCCCGATGAATTCGTTAAATTGCGGTCCTACTGTATATTCACATAAGTGAATTTTCATAAAAAAACAAACAAGGAAAAAAACAAGTAAACAAATAACAGAAATCTAATACTTAGAGTTTCCTAGTGTGAAATTTATTTAAATACAATTGCGTACATCAGTGCTTCTCAAACTTTCAATATTTGAGATCCAATACTCAACCATAATTTTCATTGTACCCCCCCTCCCTCCCTACAAATAACAATGCATTGAATTCAATAATATTATACTTTGGCACTAAAGTTGGAATACGACTTTTTTTTAAGTGCCACCGATGTATATAAACGTCTCGCTCAGCGAAAGCGTTAATTGCTCCAGACGTATATATACATCTTTCCGAAGTACGATCTTTTCTGCGCACTGTTATCCATAAAATTATTTCGAAGGCTTTGGAATGCAATAAATGAACCTTGACAGAAATTGCAGAGGATTTACTTATTTCAGAGGATTTTCTTATTTATTCTTTCCCCCAATACATAACATACGCTCGCCTAAGTGGAAAACGGTGGCATTGGGAAGCGAATCACGTAACTTTCAATCGGAAGTTAAAGGATTAATTATAAACCGTACAAATTATCAAGATAAGTGTTAATTTTTGTATATTAGTTTATATATGACAAGCACATGGGGTCACTAGTAATTATTAGATTTTTTCTTAGCATTGTTAAATAATTATAAAATACATTGTACAGTATTGATCATTTATAAATATATTATATCAGTTCAAATGTTAATTTTATTCTTACTATGTCCGAATGTATTTTGTTTGTTTATTTACAGTAAATTAATAGTTTTTTTAAAAAAATCTTTTGTTTTCAATTTTTCAATATGCTCGCGCCCTCTTCATAGAGTTATCACGTCCCCTTAGGGGGGCGCGCCCCACAGTTTGAGAAACAGTGGAGTACATCATATGTTATTAAAGGCACATTTCAAAGCAAGCGGTCAAGTGGCGAGGCGAATTTTCTAACTGACATCAATCCACACGAGCTTTCCAAGCTTCCACATCAAATGAACACGAGGACTTAGAACCTCGTCAAATATTTAACATGTTTCACATCTCATCTATACAATGGTCGCAGTAGCCTAGTGGTCATGGTCTGGAGCTTGTGGCTAGTGTGTTCAAGACCTGGTCCCACTGAAGACCCACCGTGTATGGGGGCTGATGCCCTTTAAATCTATAGTGGATCAGTCTTACTGTTGGTGTGTTGTAGTAGTCTGAAAAAGAGGTGTCATCTCAGGTGTCGTCCACGTCACTCGACCATGGTTCAAAATTACAAGGTCCATCGCCAATATTCTCGTGCGATTTTAGTGCGACTTTAATAATCACACATCTACTTGATCGGCTTTTAGTGGTTTTAGGACTCAAAAGAAACAACTGTGACGAGTTCATGGCTACTTGGCAAATGTGTCTATTTTGAGTAGGTCAAAGAATTGTCCGACATATTGATAGGTGATTTAATTCCTAAATAGACAACGCAAGTTGGTTATTGAAATAGCGCAAGCATCAAACAGTTAGTAGCATTACTTAGATCCAGGAAAAATTTTGTTAGTTCTTTTAGATTGTTATCTATATTTTGAATTTTATTACTTATTGATATTCGGAAAAAAAAACAATTAGAAAGACAGATAATTCAAGCTCAAAGGAGATGTTACGACGCTAAAGGATGCATAATTAGCATACATTTTAAACCTCTCATTCAAGTATCAGAATTTAGTATTTTGTTTATTCTGTTATTAAAAATATGATAAAATGATGATCGATTATTAAATTCCTCTGTGTTGACATCAACCAAATACCATAAAAATAATTATTCTATTTTTATTTAATTTTCTCACAAAAGATATTTTAAAATTAAAAACAAATGATCCACACATATCTCAAAGGTTAAAAATAATAAATATGTCAACAAATACGGGATATCCCTTTTTACAAGATAATTTTTTATGACTTATTTGCTAAATATTGGAAAATTTTGCATTTATATGGCACATTTCTTTTGACCCATCCTAATTTCCGTTCTAGTAACGAGGACGATAGCCGAACTGGCCCTTCCTCTCCAAACTATCCCATTACTCCAACAGCAGGGCATTTATTCTTGACTGATTTAACGTGCATCGGCTTCCTCTATACGGCGGGTCTTCAGCGGGACTTGTTAAGGTATCGGACTACCTTAAAATTGTGAATTTCGCCAAAAATTGTGTGAGATTTTTTAATAGTTCTATTTTATAGGCCATCCTATTAGCTTTATAAAAATACCAAGCTTATTATTTTCCGTTCACTAGAACAAAAACTACAAGTGTTTTAGTAAAAGCAGATGCCATTACTTTAAGCAAGATGTCATACTTTAAAACGCGTTTTACTCGAAATGTGTTTTTTTGAAATTGCTCAAACGGGGACAGCGATTGCTAAAAAAGTGTTGAAAATAATTAACTGAAATTTTTTGCGTATTTTCTGTATAATAGTAGAAGTTCTTTATCCTTCAGATTTATCAATCACTGTTTTATTACAAAATTTGCAGTCCCTTATGTTAATATATAATCACTGTTATTTTTTAAGCAATTTCATATAATAACTAAGATAAAATGCTCTAGTTTTTGTAAAAATTAAAATATCTCTTATCCTGAAGGTCATTTCAAAAATGAATAACATAGCAACACATGAGAATTGAAAGATTGAAAATTTGTTCATAAACCTTTGGTACGAATTGGGCTGCTTTTATGTTACTTTTTGTAATTTTTTACCCATTTTTTTCCCATTTTAGTAATAATAATCTCTTTTTCTCTTCTTAATTTTAGCATATCTTTCTTAAAATGTCTGGACAAATCTAAAAACAACATAAAAAATACCCCATATCTCCATTTTAAAAAAAAAAAGTTGTCGCAAGTAGTCGGATACCTTAAAGCTGAAGAAAAATCATTTTCAGATTTAGTAATGTGAGATGTATGATTCTAATTCGTATATTTATTTTAGTCCAGAATTTAGAAGAGGTACGAGTCCACACATCCTAGTGTGTGGGATTCAGAGAGAGACTTCAAAGAGGTTCAAACAAGAAGAGAGCTTTTTATGTAACTAGTTGATACTACAAATTATATCAGATTGAAAGATCAAATAAAAAAAATATTAGTCTGAGATAAGAATAATTTAACAAGTTAAAAAAGTGTAAGAGCGTATGAATTGTGTCTAAATCATTCGTGAGTTCAGAAAATATCTTGTAAAAATTGTCGTATGTGAATTTGTTTTTCTAATGGGGCTGCATATTGGTGACTAAGGCTTCACAGACACGTAAAGTCCCCAAACGTAAGAGCCATTTCATGGTAGCATCATCTAGTCGCAGCTCTCGCTACCAAATTCTGATACTTGAATGAATTTAACTCAAGTTATTATCGGATGCAAAATATTGCCGAGAGTACCAGAGCCAAATTGATACTCAAGGGATCTTTCCCATGCCGCGTAATCATATGACCTACGTGCCTACGATTTTCTCTCGTATCCAGAAAATTTATTCAGAAATTACAGTTTTGTGGGGTTTGGTATATACTTTTCAAGAAAATACAATGCAATTTATGACATGCGTCTTAAACTAAAACTTGCATTTCATTAAAACTCTTAACACAAATTTCTGTGGCAGTGGTAGCTATGACCACGAACTGAAGGCTGGAGTGTCACGGGTTCGAGTTCTAGTGCCATTGAAGACCTACCACGTAGAGCGGATCGATGCACTTTAAATCTGTCGAATCTCAGAGTTCTGGTGTGGTAGTTAGAGATGGGGATGATGCACGACTACTATTGGCGAAGGGCCTCCAATTTTGAACTTCGCTCGAGTGACAAGGGTGGCACTTGAGCTGGCACCCTTTCTCCAAACTACCACATCACGCCAGCGGGAGGATTTTGAACCCCGACACAGATCTAATGTGCATCAGCCCCTCTACAAGCGGGATTTTAGAGGTACTGGACTCGAAGGCATGACATGCCGGCCACCTCCAAGACTATGGACACCCGGCTACCGCAAGCCTCAAATGGAATGAGGATGACACCTGAGCTGGTAACCCCCTCTCCTAACTTCCACACCACATGAACAGTAAGAAGTTTGAGTCTCGAAATTTTAAACGCGCGCATCGATCCCCTCTCAGCAGTACTAGGTTCAAACTCATGACACGCCTCTGTCATCAGTTTGTTACCTTGATTACTAGGCTACCGTGGCCACAGGGTTCTTGGAAAGAAATAGAATCGATAACAGAGAATAAACTTGTGTTTAAATAATATAAAAAAAATTCTTAAGTCAATTCCTACTTCCGTGAACAAAGAAACATTTTATTTTAGTTACTTTTTATTAAATAATTACAAATAATGTAAATATGTATATACATATGACAGAATCACAATATTAAGAGGCAAAATAGAAAGCGATTTTCCTTGCAATAGCTCTTTCTATATATGGTGCTGGACTATTATTTTTGTTTGCTACTATTTATTTAATAATTAAATGTGATTATTCTAATAAAATAGTATAGTAAAAAGAAATCACATTCCCAGAAATTAGGCCTTTCCTGGTGGGATTCGAACCCACGACCTTTGGATTAGAAGTCCAACGTACTATCCAGGAACACAACGAGCGCGATTTTCCTTTCTATATTGCTGTTGGTCTATTATTTTTGTTTGTTACTATTTATTCATTAATTAAAAATTATTGAATTAATACTTGAAAAAAACTGTATTAACATCAAGTGTCATCCACTACAAGTTCAAGAAAATGTATTTGAACTTGAATGGATGAATAAAAAGTATTTTATTAACGACTGAAAACTTGAAGAAGATATAAATAAATAAATAAACATATATAGGGAGAGAGTGAACTAATAGTAGGAATTGAAAAAATAAAGCAGCCCAAAACAAGGGCGAAACTTTAAAATAAAATCAGCACAAAAGAGATAAACCTAGAATTTTAACTTAGTTATAACTATTTTGAGCTAAAAAATTGGTTTTTTAAGATAGCGAATTTAATTTTTTTGTGTCTTAAGGTCTCAGATTATATATATTTATATATATATTTAAATAAAAAACCAACAAGCAGCTAGACATCTAACCTTTATCATCTTGAGAACGCTTCAAAAAATTTTCAGTATCATTTGAGTTATTTGTCGATCGATGAGGCTAGATCGGTTTTCTCTCGGTATTTTTTTTCTCAAAGAGTTTATAAACTGCTACTTAGAGGATGTGAGTGTGTGTGTGTGTGTGATTGAAGTTCAACTTTCAGTTTTCTTTTTACGTAAAAAATGTTAGCTTTTTTTAAAAGAGTGGTTGAAAAAGAAATAAGGCTAAGAAATTTTAAGAAGAAATTTTAGAGTATTATTTTTTTAAACTTAAAATCCTATCTAATAAAAAGAAAACTGTCAGATTTCTTATTTTAGATAAATCTTTGTAAGAAAATGTGATAATAAAAAAAAAAAAATGGGGTCCTGGATGAAAAATCAATACCTTAGCTCAAATTGCAAAATTTGATCTCGTTACAAGATAAAATATTTAAAAAAGTATTTGTTTATCGAGTTTAGATAGTAAAAAAAACCCTTCCTTACACTATTAACATGGAAATTTTTCGGGTGTTAAGTGATCTATTAAGCTAAGCATATAATTAAATTGTTGAACCCTTTTCCCTAAAAAAAGAATCTTGTTTACTCTAACCTTTGCTCAGAAATTTTCTTCGAAACAAAGTATTCTATTTTATACGAAATAAAAATTTTTTTGGCTTATTTGAATTTTTAACACAATTAAAATTAAGGGAATAAATATAAAAATATTAAAAAACTATGCTTTTTATGAAATAAAAGTATCAGAAATTCTAAAGAATGATTTCAGTGCATATTAAATGATTGATGTAGTAAGAAATTGTTTTTTTTTTAAATTTAGAAGTACGGTGTCAAATATAGTTATCCTTTAAACTGTATATGAAATTAAAACAATTAGAAAATAATTCGGTTTTTGAGAAGAAATGGAAATAATTAAGTTACATAATAAGTTAATGTGATAAATGAACTTTATAATTAAATATAACCTGTCAGTTTTTTAAAGGGAGATCAGCTATAATTTAGCTCTTTTTCGAAAACCCATTGTGTTTTAAGTAAAGAAAAATTTTGGTTAAAATTTGGTAGATTGTTTTTAAATTAATTAAATGAATATGAACTCAAAAGTAATTAATAAATTTTTTTGTATAAGATAAAAAATCGGGTTTCAGCTAGGAATTTTTCAAAAAGCAAAATGAAATTTTTCACTGGTGTTTAAAACTAAGAGAATTTGTATATTTAGTAAATTTTCTCGAAAAGTACTGAATGAAAGGTTAAATTAATGCTTAAAAATAAATATATTTAGTGTCGATTACTTAGGGATATACGTGGGTGTGGAGGTGTGCTCTATACAGCTTGAGAAAACCTTTTTAAGTTAGTGTGCCAATTTCCGCGCTTCGTTCATTTATACACCTCAGTGATTTTCCTTATCTTTTTTCGTGATATTCGATGAAGTTTAAAAGTGAACGGTTAAAACGAGTATATCCTAACGTGTTTGGATGATAGAATGAGGTGGCAGATCATCGAGATACTTAAAGCAAAATAGCCCCCAAATGCAAATTGCTAGCAACGCCTGGCGTTTCGTGCAATTTATGATGATAGCTCAATCAAAAAGGATCCTAGACAAAATCATTCAATTGACCAATGAAGACAGGATAATAACAAGAGTGCATTTAATAACAGGCGTAATAACAGGAGTTTACACGCTTCAAAACTGTACTTTGAGCTTCATGCTGCTACAGGAATCCGAGTCTAAATGTTAATACGAAAAGACTATAGGACTTAAACTAATGAAAAACGCGAAGGAGAAAGCAGTTATTTTTGTCAATTTGATTTCGAATCGGAGGTTTATTATATCGTAGCTAGAGCTCCATTCTATACTTTTCAATATTGCTTAAGATAAAAGTTTGTTAGTCAAAATTCCCCTAATTAATTTTTTTAAGCGACCATACAATTTTTTCTTAGTTCTGTAATTATTTTTCAGGTACTCATGAGTCACTGGATCGGTGTCATTACAAAAAGGTTTGTATTAATTAGGCTTCTAGTGTAAGTTTTTTTGGTCTGAAATCAATAAATAATTTATTTGCGGATGTGAAACGTCGAAATTGTCTTGTTGGTCCTGACAGAAACTATAGTTATTTTTAAGTAGTCTAGCAGAAACAATTAGAGTATCGTTTAAAATTATTTGTATAACAAAATATAACACTATTTGAAAATTGATCAAGTATTGTCTTACGTGAAATACCTACGGTCCATCGTGCAAATATAAGAATGCTACGAAATGTTCAATTTTCTATTGCAAACCTTACATCTTGTTTCTCTATCCTCTGTTTGTATATATACAGAGCGGTTCGTTACCAGTCCGAAAAACTTTCAGGGTGTGTAGAGGATACAGAGATGATTCGGATTCACATAGGAATACAGGGTCGAAAATGCCGTAGTTACCAGCTGTGGCGCAAAGAAGCAGAGAAAAAGAAAACAGAAACAACAACACATTAATGGGACAGAAAACATTTTTTTTTGAAAGACTGCACTACAACAGGTGTTCGAAACTGTGACCAGAAGCCGTCTGGTAGGCCTGCCAACGTCGTTGCATGGAATCCCTTACGTTCCGGAAGATTATTGGCATGTATCCTCCCGGTAGCTACACATATTCGAGATATGAGGTTTTTAACTGAAGAAGCGGGCACGAAACTCTTCATGTGACCCCAGAAGAAGAAATTCTTGTATAATAGGTTTGGTGATCTAGCAGGCCAGCGAACTGGGCTACCTCGACCTATCCACCGCTGCCCAAAGTTTACGCTGAGGTGTTGGCAGACGAGAATTCCTTAATGTGGAGGAGCCCCGTAAAGCTGGTACCACATGGAGTGGCGAACGTTGGAGGAACATGTGCTGCATTAAGAAATTCATGCAAGACTTGTTGCAAGAAGATCAGATGTGCTCTACCGTCCAAAGGACTGGGTAGAAGGTACGGTCCAGTGAGGTCCACCTACCTAAGGGCCTGCCAACGACTTCTGATCGTAATTTGGAACACCTGTTGTAGTATAACCTTTCAATAAAAGGTTTACTGTCTCATTAATCTATTGCTGTTTCTGTTCTTTTCTCTGTTTTTTTGCACGATAGCTCGCAACTACGGTGTTTGCGACCCTGCATTCCTACATGACTCCGAGTCGTCTCTATACTCCCTAAGCACCCTACAAGTTTGTAGATCTGGTAGTGAATCAACTGTATATTACAATATACAGATAATTACTAATATATAATAGTTAAGATATAATTACTAATATATTCAAATTTATATTAGTAATTATCTTACAAACTTTGAAAGCTGGTGTGTGTGTGTGTGAATAGAAAGACCTAAGAGCAATCTCCCATGCTCCTTCTAAGCCAAGGCGCGTAAGGACCTGATGGCTCAGTTTCATTTAGCCCTTCCATTTTTTTTTGTAAAAAGGAATTTTAGCTGAATTAGGATTCGCAAATCTCTGACTCGAGTTGTATAAAACTAGTGAACGTGAATTCGGAATCAATGATAAGATGCTAGAGGGGACCCATTATTTACAATGTATTTCTTAAGAACTATTTTAATTCAGATGTTGAGAAATCGTTTCTTTCTCTAAATTTCAAAATGTATGTACACAATTTTCATAATCGATAAATAAGGACATTTTAATTACATAAAACATACTAGAAATGTACATTTTGAGAACACTTAACTGAAAAATTCACTGTTACACGAAAAAAACTTATGAGCACATCTCGTTAGTAAAATTAGATTTATTGAAAATAGTGTCCAAGAGAGGATTGAGAGAGAAATAATTCATACGAAGCCATTACGTTTATAAATACACATATGGGTACTTACCGTATGTAAATTAGGTTGTGCATTGTTCGATGTGTGTGATGGTGGTTGCTGCTGCTTTCTCTTAGAGGAAGTACTTGCCTCAACTGAAGGCTCAGGAATCGGCTTATCCTGGCGAGCCTGAAAATTAAAATACATAAATTCATACATCGAATGATTTTAGAAAAAGGATTAGTTCTAAAGTGCAAGTTAAAATATTCTCATATATATATACTTTGATTTACGAACTTCTTCCCTTATTTTTTTCCATATTTGTTAACACGCATATTTTGTACTTTTGAACACCAATCTAAAAATTATTTAACATTCAGTATTATTTTTAGTTTTTAAATGTATTAACACGATGGAATTGTAATCACGCTGAAAAATGGCAAAAAAAAGTTATTAGACGGTCATTTAGATATTTTGTGAGTGTATGCTCCATTTCTTCTCTAAAATGTCATTCCATCCTAAAAATTTAACTAATTGGTTTTATTTTTAGACTATTTATTAGCATTACGTTTAGAAGCAATTCGAGGACTATTGTAGAAAAATCCTTTAATTTTGAACGATGCTCAAGTCCCGAGGATGACACCTCTCTGCACTGAAATCCCATTCTCAAAACTTCCACTCTTTGCCACTGTGAGAATTTTAAGCCTCAGAATTGTCGTGTATGAATCATTTCCACTACACAACTTGTCCTTAGCAATATGAGGA